TTAAATTAATTTCATTTAAAGTTGTTAATTGTGTTATAATTTCTTAATAATCTGATTCTAATTACTTTAATTCTTCTCCAGTATATAAAATAACTTTTCTAAATAAGTAACTATGATTTTCTATTTCTAATATATTATTATTATTATTATTATTTTTAGTAATTAGTGCTTTATATTCTTTAGCTTTTAAATATTCTAAATATTTATCAGTTCTTTTTCTACATATACTACAAATTATTGCTAATTCATTTAATTCTAATAATTCAATTAATCTTTTTAGAATTTTGGTAAGATTTTTATTTGTATAATTCTTTGTTTTATTTGATTTTGTTTCACTTAAATAAATTTCATGTTTTGGATATTAACAAGTATTTTTATATTTATTATCATCTATTAATTCATTTTGTAAATATTATAATTATTTTTTCTAGTTATTGGTGCTTGATATTTTTCATGTTATAAATATTCTAAATTATTATCAATTGTTTTTTTACAAATATTACAAATCATTGCATCTTCATTTAATTCTAATACTTCAATTAATCTTTTTGAAATTTTAAATAAATTTGTTGATTTTGCTTTATAAATATCATGTTTATGATGTTGATAACTTTTAATTTTTGGTATTTTATTTAGTATTAATTGATTATAATGAGTTTGATAAAGTAATATATTAATAGTTACAATATTTTTATTTATTTCTGAAATGTCTATTTTATTTGAAATTTTTTTAAATTTAGTGATTGGTAGTACAATGAATGGATTAGGAACTTTTGATATGAAAATTACTCGTTCTGAAAGTAATACAGCCTTGTCTTAAATCGTCAAACTCGTTGAAGAAGTTCAAATCTCTAAAGCTCTGATACAAGAATTTGCTGATACTGTCGCGAGTTACTTTGTACCTATAATTATTGGACTAGGTTTGCTTATGTTTGTAGGATGGATGATTCTCGCAAGATCTTTACATAATCTTCTGGTAATTTTTAAGGGTAGCAACAATTATTTCATAGTTTGTCTCAAATTATGTATTTCCGTTATCATAGTAGCATGTCCATGTGCTTTAGGTCTTTGTACACTGACGGCTGTTATGTTAGAACTGGTATTAGAACGCAAAATGGAATATTAATTAAAGGGGGAGGTCCACTTGAGGCAGGACATAAGGTTACAAAAGTTATTTTCGATAAGACTGATACGCTTACAAAAGGTCAATTAGATGTCACATATTATGAAATTATAACGAATAACTTGGAATTGACAAAAGAAACTTTCTTTGCGATTGTTGGAGCTGTTGAATATTCAAGTGAACATCCTCTTAGAAGATCCATTGTGAACTATGGAAAGAAATTATTGGATATTGAAACGTATGATGTTGACGTTTCGATTTTAAAGCTATTGTTAGGTTAGGCATTGAGTGTAATATGGTTCTAAAACTTTATATTCTCTTTATCACCTACGACTGGCACCACATCAAAATCATATAATGTGTTGATTGAAAACGCAATGTTCCTTTCAATTCAACATCAAATATTTATTCCAGATGAAGTGGTGACTATAAAGGAATCACAAGAACGACTTGAAAGAACTGCTGTATTAGTAGCTATTAATAAATCTTTTATCAGTTGCATATTCTTATCTGATACAATAAAACCTGAAGTTAAGGTAGCAGTTAGGCCTTACGTCATATGGAATTACTGTCGCGATAGTGACAGGAGATTAATTACTCACAGTCCAAGTGATCACAGCATAATGCGATATTATAGAGATTCATACAGGGTATCACCAAAGGGTAAAACACAAATAGTTCAATCACTTCAATTAGAAGGTAAAGGGAAT